TCCTATACACTTATAATTATACAATAAAAACATTCCCCTGCCCAGTTTTATGTTTGTATAATGTATAATTTATGTTTGTATAAAGCGAAAGAGAGAGCGATTTTTGATATACAAATATTTTTGTCAACGATTTATACAAACAAGAGGCTAACAACAATTTATACAAATGGCCTGCCAGCGGAATTATACAAATCTGAAGAGGAGCCAACGAATTATACAATTGCTTCTTTTTGTATATATGTATAACGAAATAGACAGCTTTCAATTGTATATGTATAGCGAATTATACATATATATGTTTGCTATGGAGCGCAATTATGCAAATTTTGATATAGCATATAAATATGATTTTTTCGTTTGCTATATGTGAAAGTTTAAAATATACGTTTATGTATTATATTATATGAATTCATTTTTTCAAACATTTATATATATTTTTATTTCAATTTCTTCCAACCAATAGTCACATGCAACTCACGTGACAATTCCTAACTTGGACATTTCTGTAAATATCCTTAATTCCAGACCTAAATTATTTGCTTTCATTGCTCTTAATTTCCAAATTTTTTCCACAAATTTCGTTCTACTGGTCCATTTTCTTCTCTTCTAGATTCCTCTCAGTTCAATCTTCGAAAATCTCCAGTTTTCTTACAATTATCAACGAATTACCCCCTCAAAATCTCCATTTCTACACAATCTCCTGCTTTTTCTCTCTCGATCGATGTAATTTTCACCCAAAATTGTTAACAATTCAATCGCCCAAAAGTATTTTTTCTTTTTATCAGTTTTAGGGTTCAAATCTTTAGCTTCAATCAGTTTAGTTGAGTAGGAATCTCGGAAATGAAGATCGTGTATGGTTTTTGTACAGTTCAGTGTTAATTGTAGACCCCCAAATTTTCGTTTTGATCAATTTAGGGTTCAATCTTTAGCTGCAATCGGTTTGGTTGATTGGGGTTTGTGGAAATGAAGATCGTGTATGGTTTTTTTACAGTTCAATGTTCATTGTAGAACCCCCAAGTTTTCATTTTGATCAATTTAGGGTTCAATTCTTAGCTTTGATAAGTTTAGTCTAACATCAGTTCAGTATTCATTGTATAGAACCCCCAAGTTCTCGTTTTGATCAATTTAGGATTTTAAGTCTTTAGTTGTAATCAGTTTGATTGTTTAGGATTTTGGAAATGAGGAATTTTCGTCTAGCATGTAATAGATTTGTTTGATTTATGTATAGTTCAGTATTCGGTGTAGACGCCGTTGTTTTGATCAATTTAGGGTTCAATTTTTAGCTTTGATCAGTTAAGTGGATTAGGAGGTAGTGGAAATGAAGATTGTGGAATTGGATGGCTCGTTAATAGAAGGTGATGGTAAGTGTGTGAACACTGAGAGACGGGTGATTGTTGGTGTTGATGCTAAGAGAGTGTTGGTTGGAGCCGGAGCTCGGATCCTCTTCTATCCGACACTTTTGTACAATGTTTTTCGTAACAAAATTCAGTCGGAGTTCAGATGGTGGGATCAAATTGATCAGGTTTACTTCATCCTTAACATAAGTTTACACTCCTTTCCCTAAAAAGAATGAGAGTCTAGAACACCTAGGTCAATGCATTTTATTTTTTCAATGATCTCTCAATTTTTCAAAGTAAAATTGCATATTAAGAAATTATGTACTGTGTGATTTCCATAGTTGTAAGATATTTGATAGATGTTTGAGAAAATTGTTGTAGAAAACTTTTGGACTCGCCAAAAAATGCCATTGTCTTTGCAGATGGATGTTTGCCAGATAATGGGTTCATCTAGTCCAATTTGACAGTTTTTATCTATGGAAATGCTGGGGAAAGAGTGAATTTTATTGGTCTGTTATTGTAATTTTCAATATATTATATGCTTTTGTATAGGGATGAGTTGTTGTGTGCATAAACTTATTTTTTAGTTGCTTGCGCATTTGCAACTTTGAAGAAGTAAGGAAATTGCCTCCTCCTATTCTTGCCTCCCCACCCCGCTCTCATAATGAAAAGTCTAAAGGGAGAAATAAACAATTAGTTCTCATTTGTCCTCCATTAGTTTAATATGTTGTGGTCGATGCCTTTGTGACTCTGCTTTTTTGTTTGTTCAGTTTCTCCTTCTTGGAGCAGTTCCATTTCCATCGGATGTCCCTCAGTTGAAGCAGCTTGGTGTTGGTGGTGTAATAACGCTGAATGAACCTTATGAAACTTTGGTACCATCATCATTGTACCATGTGAGTGACACATGTATTATATCATCCATTTTCATAGTCATAATATGTGATTATATTCTCGATAAGCTTTTTCTCCTGAGAAGCTTTCGGACTATGATGTTCGTTTTTTCAATATCTCAATTAAAATTTGCTTAGTTTGTTAATTGGTGTGTGCATATAGCAGGGTATTAGTTTTCGTTTGTCACAAATTTGACATTAGTACCAAATGACATGATAAAATCTTCAAGGTGTTGCTCAGGATACCCAGAGTGACATGTAGACACATCCCCTGTTGTAGGGTGGTAAAGATTTCCTTTCATGAATGAGTAGGCAGTTTATGAGCATCAAAGAGTAAACAATCTTCTGTCATTGAAACTTCACAGTTTTGATCTCATATGATATCGATCAGTAAATACACGTTTCTCTATTTCTGATATCCCATATTTCACTACCTGAGGTGGACACCACCTTCTGCCTGTATTATATAAAGGCACGGAACAGCTTTCCCCCTTCCTCCCATCTCTGCAACTACAGTGTGCTGCAGAGGTCGGTATCTTCAAGAGACTCCTTCATACCCTTTACAATTTGTTTGATTCTTTTTTATCCTTTTTAATTTGATACTGTTATTAATGCATAGTAGAAATGGGTTTCCACACGTTGAGGTGTATTCACATTCCTATACTCTGATTTCAGGCCCATGGAATAGACCATCTTGTTATTCCAACCAGAGATTATCTTTTCGCACCCTCTTTCATGGATATAAACCGAGCAGTAGATTTTATTCACAGTGAGTGATTGTCATTTATCTTCTGTATTATTGACTTATTGTAGGGCCCTTCCTCACTTCCTTTTTCTCTTCTCTGTTGCAGGGAATGCATCCTGTGGTCTGACTACTTATGTGCATTGCAAGGCCGGAAGAGGAAGGAGCACAACCGTTGTGCTTTGCTATTTGGTAGCTACCTTAACCCAATATAAAGCCATTTGTTTTCTGTGTGGATATTGTTTCTTGGCCAGCTAATTTTTTAACTTTCAAATGACTAAAAGGTTGATTCTTTCACTAATTTTAGGTCGAATATAAGCATATGACTCCTGCTGCAGCGCTGGAATTTGTCCGTTCCAGAAGACCTAGAGTTTTATTGGCTCCTTCTCAATGGAAGGTAAAGAACATTTCGAGTAAATTTTTTGCTCCATTGTGCAACATAGGAAGTTTATCTGTGTATCAACATATCTTTTTCGTTAAACAGGCTGTTCAAGGATTCAAGCAGCAGCGAATGGCATCTTCTCCACTCTCTAGTGATGCTGTGTTGATCACTAAAGCAGATCTTGAAGGGTATCATTCTTCTTCTGACGATAGTCGTGGTAAGGAGCTAGCCCTTGTTCCCCGAATTGCAAGAACACAACCAATGATAGCTCGATTATCCTGCCTCTTTGCGTCACTGAAAGTATCCAGCAGCTATGGACCCATCACCAGGCAACTGACCGAAGCACGTGCCTGCTAACTGCTGCACACTCATCAGCAGAGCTTCCTTGTACAGAATAGGTCTCTGCTTAAATAAGTTCCCAAGAGCTTTATATCTTTGATTCTGTAAGAGTTTAACATCAAGGGATTCTGAATACAGAAAAAAAAAACTGTTGAATGGGTCTTTCAACATTGTATAAACATGTGCAGAGTGTATGACTTTTGGTTTCATTTGTAAATATTTGGGTCATTATCACTCCCTCCATTTCAATTTATGTTAACATAGTTCGAATTGATACAGAGTTCAAGAAAAAATTAAGACTTGAGAAACTTTTTTTTCTTAGTCATCGCGGTATAGCATTTGAAGCCAGGAAACTTTGAAACTTGTGACCTCAAACATGCTATAATATTTGTATGGTTATAAAAGTATATTGATAGTCAAGGTGTTTTGTTCACACTTAGATTAATTCATCAATATTTACATAGCCATGATTTTGGCATTATGCTAAACGAAATAATTTCAATTTTACAATAAATCCAATCCGAAGTAAAGTAAGTTGAATTGAATGTCTTTTATATAGCCGACAGAGACTTTTCATATCTTATCTTATCCTATACCTAATGAAAAAGAAGTTTGTACAGAAAAATTATGGAGTGCCACAACTTTTAATCGTTTTGTTGCAATGCAATAATAGAGCTAAATTCTTATATTCAATAATTTATTATAAAGTATTTTAAAATGAGACATTATAAATTTAAATAAAGGTGAAGAGTAAGTGTAAATTTACTCAAAAATAAAGATCAACAAAGAAAGTTGTTATTGATATGTAAGATGAAGTTCGAGATCATTTGGACACGTGAAAGAAAAGGAACACAGATGCCTCAATAAGGAGATACAAGAGGTTAGCAGTGATAGCTATAACCTATAAGTAGAGATAGAAGTAGATCGAAGAATAATTATGGTTAATTGATTAGACCAGACATAACATATTTTTAACGCACAAAGAACATGATACTACTACATAAGGAGAAGAAAGCATGAAAGTCAAAGCAAAAAGTCAATAGATAATCGCAAACGTTCTCTCTTTTGTGTGAAAACAGGAGGGATTTTTATCTATTTTCTTCAATTCTTAATTTATCACTATTATTAATGTTTTTTTTTTACTTTGGATATCTCACTATTTTTTATATCAATGCTTCTCTTTTCCAAGTATTTTCAATTAAAAATTACTTCACTTCTGTATTTTTCAAACATGTTTTTTAAAACGTTTTTCTTGAGACAAGGATCAATCAAAAACCACTTCTCTACCTCAAACAAGGCAAAGGTAAAGCATACGTACACTCGACTCTTCTCAGATCTCATTTGTGAGATAAGATGACACTGAGTATGTTGTTGTTTTTATTATACCAACTCCCAAGGCTAATTAATATCCATCAACTTTGGTATAAATTCATTGGATTCACAATATTGAGATAAAATTAGTATTTCTTCCCATTTTGGGTAAAGAGGAATTCTCAAAATTGTTAACTAGAGAAATCTGATGACTTCCAGCTGCAGCAGTAATGCCCTATGACATTATGTCATCAAATATCAAAGAAAGCTGAATGAATTACAAACTGTTTACACAAAAACCATGTGCCCAGATGCTCTTTATCACAGAGCTTTGACAGAGCTGAATTATCGATAGCTCGTAACCCCCCTCTTATTTTCCGAAAATTACAGCCACACGCGTAAAGATTTTCTAAAAACCTAAAAAATAACAGCATGATAGTCCTGCTGTGTACTTCGTAGTTGACAATTGATTTATTTGGAACGGAACCTGCTGCTGACTGCATCGTATGATGGGAGGGAGAGAACTGCGATTTTGAAGTAAAATGAGCAAACCCACGGGAAGTCGAGAGAAACAAATAATTATAAAGAAGGATTCACAATCTCAGTCACTTTCAATAGAAACAAATAATTGTAAAGAAGGATTTACCATCTCCATAGGATGCCATGGTCAGAGGAGAAGAAATAAGCTTCTGCACAAAGGAAGCAATATCTTTTGCTGAAACTGCATCAATGGCTTTCAAGAAATGCTCCACTGGTTTCCTGAGGACCCAAAAGCGATTGGCATAGAAAATCTTTGTAAGTACTAATTTGATCAGAGAGGTACAACGATCGATCATACGCCTTTTGTGTTTGAGAACTAACCCCTTTAATTAATGGATTTTTCAAAAGCCATAAATGACCCTCAATACTATGAAAAATGAAATGACATTTGTTTTTTTTCAATAACAAAAGAATCCTCTCTCGGTCTTTTTTTTTACTTGTCAAATTTTGACTTGACACATCTATTAAAACAATAATAATTAGTGTAGTGAATTTATCATTTTACCCCTATTAATTGATAGGGTCCAAAATATATTTACTCACTACATATTTCAAAGACATTAACTTAATGTTAATAAATTTAGGGTATAATAGGGGGAAAAATTGTTCTTCCTTGATTTGTCAAAATAACGAGTAAAAAGAGAAATCAAATTAGGAAATATTTGACGAGTAAATAGAGACGGGGGAGCATTATGCAATAGTCAATACTCTTTTTGTTCCTATTTATATGTCACAATTTTAGATTTTATGTGTCTTAAAAAACTAAATAAGTTTATCATTATACCCTTATTTAGTGTTATAAATGAACATAAATAATTTATTTTAATTAATTAAATTGACTAGTGAATATGAATTAATCATTTAATTTTTCTATGTTTTTAAGGCAAATAACTCTCAAGGGTAAAATAGGAAGAATAGTATTATTTATATATTGATTTTGTGAAATGACAAATATTAAAGAATATTTATTTTTAATAAGGACGATATATAAACAGATATAGACTAGAGGAGTAACATTTTTACACAAATTGTACACCATATAAAAATATAGAAATACCTCACTTTTCTCCTTTGCCTTTCTTTTGGAGTTCTTTTTCCTTAGAACTCCAAAACTGCGTAACTCTTGATTCTTTTTTAGGGGGGGGGAGGGGGGGGGGGGGGGGGGGGGGGGGTCCTTTTTCTGGACAAAGGAAGAACACCATTTTGATCTCTTAGGGTCATATACAATATCCGCGGCAAAATGGGTCTTTGAATGGAATTTTTAATATAGGGAGGACAAAGCCTGAATACAAAGTTTCCTCATATTTTCTTGATATATATTGGGAAAGCAAATTTTATGATTAGCCAATTCAATGGAAGGTCAACGTAAACCACCTAATCTATTTATTAGGTGGCACCAGTTTCTCAGATTCAAACAACGTAATATGGGCAATCCGTAGAAAACTTCCAAGCGAACAATGTTCATTCAGAGCAGCATTTTTTTTAAATAATTAAGTCAGCTAGGTGAACATTAGAAACAAGTGTGTATATACCTCTCTCCATATGTCAAAAGCTGTCTGCCGATATCTTCTGATGCAACCATCTACAAATTAGACATCAGCAGTAAGCACATATATTATACAACATACATCCTTCTGCAAATCCAAGCCAATACAATATAGCAGTTGAGTTAATATTACATACCCGGGATTCCAAGTTCATCAGAATGGCAGACTTTGTAGCCTGTTTAGCACGGTTTAGCTGTACTTGGTCAACTGTGTGAAACGAGAAGAGGCAAAGCCACAAAATAGCAATCAGTAACAGGATAATAATGGTGGTGCCCGTGGTGGAAAATTGCATTGGCATATCGATGGACTTCTTTAGTTTGAAAGAATACTCCCTCTGGGGAAGTAACAAAATTAGGCAGAAAATTCAACATAAATTTAGGGAAAACAAAGTAACAAAGTTCAGAATTATATGTCAAACCTTCACTAGGGTTTGCTACTGCAATAAGCTCTTTAACTGCTACATCAACAGCTTGAGGCCCAAAATCAGAGCTCTGATAACACAAACACCCAAGAGAGAGAGACTAAGCTTTGCAATTTAAGAAGTCGCTATTTCTTGTATAAGTAACACAACATGAATCCAAAAGTGCTTCATAGATGGTTTCATGCTGGCATATGCAATGGTGAGTCACCCACATAAACAACAAAACAATAGAGTGGCATGGTTTCTATCATTTGCCCACAATGGAGGAAACAACAACCTAACAAAACTAAGCCCTCATTTGTTTACACTTAATGAATGTCTGAACATAATAATTCATATCTCAATAATTAAGTTTGTTTTTTTAAATCTGAATCTTGATCCTTCAGATCTTAACCATCAAGTGAGTTTATTTTATTTTATTTTACAATCACTTAAATAGGTATGAATAGATCTGAATGATTAAGATGTATAACAAAATTTTCATATCAATAAGGTGTTCATCAAGGATTTTCTAGAAAGATGACAGTTCAACTTTCACGGCTAGCCGCCGCCGTCTACCATTATCAACTACCACTACTTACAACCACAATCCTCAGCCACAACACCTATGCTGCCAATATCGTTGTTAGTCATCCCCACCACCAACCACCATTACCACAACCACCACCAATAATTATCAACGATCAATTGATAACCATCAACCACCACTATATATCACCAACTACTGGCATCATTCACCGCCACTATCATTCACCACAATTATTAGCCGCCACCACCACCCACTAGCTACTATCCACAACCAACACCATCTCAATCAACATCCACAACTAACATCAATGGCAATAATGTTGTTTAAAAGGTAAGGTAAAGAAGCTAGATAAGTTCGTGACATTTCTATACCAATACCACAAGCACATTTCCATTATATCACAAGAAAATTTAGTAACACAGAGATATGTACTTGGCATAGATTATAGTTAAGTCATTAAGATCTGGATACTAAAACATCAAGCCACCCATAATGACAAGATAATTCAAATGATAAATAGTAACCTATTCAGCAAGGTAGGGAGGAAAGGGGAAAAGAAAGGAAAAGGATCTGGATGAAAATGATGCGTAAGAGAGAGAAACAAACACAAGTTACCAGATCAAACATTTAGTTTGAAGACGGTGATAGCATTGATAGGAATCATTGTATCTTCATTTAAAATAAAGACAGAAAGATAAGCAATAATGAAATCATCATAGGGCTTTTTACCGTAGTTCCTTGAATTCCAAATAGTCCAGTGCTATTGTAAATGCTGCTGAATGCAGAGAATGCGTGAATCTGTGGGTACTGATTTAAGACACGAAGATCTGCTCATCATTGTGGAAAATCATGTAAGTATGTGAATGCAAGAACTAGGAGAAAATCATATTTCCAAAACTAAATGAGTAAATATACAAATTCCAACT